ATCTAAGAGGATGATTGGATTAATCCAGAGTACTTACATTGATAAGGTACTGGCTCGATTCAACGTGGAAAATGCCAAAAGAGGGCATTTACCCATGTCCCATGGCGTAACTCTCAGCAAGAAACAGTGTCCGCAGACACCTGTTGAGCGAGAAAGAATGAATCAGATCCCATATGCTTCGCTAATCGGATCGATCATGTATGCCATGATATGTACAAGGCCAGATGTATCGTATGCCTTGAGTGCAACGAGTCGATACCAATCGAATCCAGGAGAGGCGCATTGGACTGCGGCCAAGAACATCCTTAAGTACCTGAAAAGGAACAAGGATAAATTCCTGGTGTATGGAGGCCACAAAGAACTGGTTATTGAAGGTTACACCGACGCTAGCTTCCAGACTGACAGAGACGACTTCAAGTCACAGTCGGGGTACATATTCTGTCTGAATGGAGGAGCGTTTAGCTGGAAGAGTGCCAAGAAGAGCACCACTGCAGACTCTACAACTGAAGTCGAGTACTTGGCCGCTTCAGAAGCTGCCAAGGAAGCTGTTTGGATTCGCAAGTTCATCAGTGAACTTGGTGTTGTACCCTCAATCAAGGGGCTGATAGACCTCCATTTTGATAATAATGGAGCTATCGCTCAGGCTAGGGAGCCGAGAGAACACCAGAAGGTCAAACACGTGCAAAGGCGATTTCACATGATAAGGGAATGGAAATCCGAAGGTGAAATTCAAGTGAAACACGGATGATAATGTAGCCGATCCTTTGACTAAACCTTTGCCTCAAGTGAAACACAACAAACACATTGAGGCAATGGGAATCAAGCATGTTGGAGACTGGCTTTGAAATTCCCTGTACATGTGTTTCAATTAAATAGGATATTTAATGTAAGACACTGTATTAAAACCATTCATTATTGGAGTAATTAATTTTTGTGCAAAATTATCATTCACTCCATAACTATTTAATTGTGGTTTAGAATTAAATAATGAGTCCATTCGATTTACGGAAATATTCAAAACAGGGTATCAAGACCATGTCTTGGATAAAAAAACACCTGTTAAGTGAACATTGAATATTAAATCGAAAAGTGTCCCTAATCGAGGTCATCTAACAGATGGACGATTGATGACCGCCATAGATTAGTGTGTAGTATGATTTATAGCACCGTTTCTTGTGTTGCGAGGACGTGACGGTCATAAATCATTTGCACAGGTACAGTTTGGAACTATACTGGATAAGACCTATGAGAGTACTTTAAGAAAATTTAAATTTTGTCATAAGTACATTTCTCATTATGACTATCGGAACTTATTTCCTCCGACCATGAGTACTGTGAAGTTTTCTTGTTTGAGTACTAGACTCTTTGATGTTTCCAAACGTCTGTTGTAACTGGGGATCATAACGGGATCACTCGGGAGACTATGTCCTCTTAGTAAGAAGAACATACAATACAAGACTGGGATTGCCCCCCTACTAACAATAGGGAAAGATGTTTTGTTGTTTACAAGGCCGCTCGAATAGCAAGACAGTGAAAATGCATGGCCGTGCTCAGATGGATTTTAGAAATCATCTGCTTATTGACAGTCGAACTCGGAGATCGAGAAAAACTTCTGAACGTAATAAGGATGACAAAGAATCTTACCTTATAGTTCACGAAGAAACATTAAGTGACATAGGAAATGAGCTATACACTATATGCACACTTGTTCGGAAGGGCAAGTGGGAGATTGAAAGGAATGGTGTCCTTCCAACAAGTGTATTCTTCCGATAGAGGGTTCAGAATTATTACGGAGCTAATTCTTCAGTAAGGTCAAGTGATCGGAATGCCTAGGTTGAGGCCGCTTCCGATCAGTAATATCGAGGTACAATTGATATTACAACTTAATCTTAACTGAACCCTTCGGGTCGAACCCAATCGAATCAGCGATCCGAGACGACGAATTAATCCAAAAGGATTTAATGAGTCGACAGAGTTTTACGAATACAGACGTCGGACATCGAGCCTAGGGCATCGAGACTGAGCGTCGCAAAATCACAATCGACAATTATGAGCGTAGCCATATCTAGGCTAGGCTAGCTCATCATAGGCACTAGGCGCGCCATAGCAGCCCTAGCATCATGCCTAGGCGCTATCGCAGCCATCGCAAGCCAATGAGCATCACTAGGCGCACCATGCGTGCCTTAGGATGGCTGGGCACCATCGCAGCTCAGGGAGCATCACTAGGCGCACCATGCGTGCCCTAGGATGGCCTAGTGCCATAGCGGCCCTAGCACAATGCTGGGCGCATGGCAGGACCACACGCACCAAGCACAGCTATTGCTAGGCACTTGTGCATGCATGATGCGTGATGCTTGGGCGAGGCATGTGCGTGCATGGTGCACGGTGCATGGCCGAGGCTGATGCGTGTGGCTGTGCGAGCGTGTGCGAGGGGGCTAGCAAACTAGCAATGTCAAGCCAAGCATGCGTGGCTTGCAAACAGCACACATGCTAGGCATTGCGTGCGAGAAGGGCTGATGCGTGGCGCGCATGATGTGCGAGTGTGGTGTGTCTGGCTGGCAAAACGAGAGGCCAGCATGCGTGGCTTGCTAGTAGCATGCATGCTGGGCCATGCGAGCATATGGTGCAGCGATGATGCGTGGAATGCTGGCACCAACGCCAGCACGCACCAGCAAGCACCAGCGCCAGCACAAGCAAGCACCAGCGCTGCTGCTGGGCTTGTGCTAGCATGCTGGGCTAGCTGGCAGCTTGCCGACAGCCTTGGGTGATGCGGTTTTGTGAGAGTGGGGACCAAGGCTTTGGGAAAGCCTTGGGGAGAAAGGCATTGGTCCCCCCCACCTCTCCATGGTCCTCACCTAATGCTCTCTCTCCCTTTGACACTTGTCGAATTGTGATTGCATTTATTTATTAATTTATTTTAGAAATAAATTAATTAGAAAATTATACATTCTCCCACATTAGTTGGGGAATGAAATGCAAGGGTTCATTTCCCTATAAATACCAAGCTTGGGTATTGGGAAATGAACAACCTTGAGTGGAATTAAAAAGGCAACTCTAAGAAAAGAGTAAACCTTTGATTCGTAAAACTCAGAGTTATTTTGTCCGGGTCTTGACTAACCTTCAAGACTTAGGACGCTCGGGTCAGGTCGAGGGTACGATCCGTCGGAGATCTCGTCTTTTCGGGATTTTGAAGTAAGAGCTCTTTGGGAGCGAAGCACGCGTCAAAGGTATAATTCTTGTTCTTAATCTTGTTTGATTAAGTTTATTATGCTTGTTAATTGCTTTAATTAAGGGGCGGGTCTTGGTGGGTTTCCTTCCGCGTAGTGTCGGGTCACTACGAAACCTAACACAGGGTGCATGATTTGACTGGCCAATGAATATTTGGCATTGAATGCATCCATTCTCGAGATGCATTTCCAACACTCTCGGGGGTTATAATCACGAAGAACTTCGTGCTCAGGGAAGAACATGTCAGTGTTAGGGTTGAGGTCTAGGAGTTGGTTGAATTGGCGAAGGTTTACTGTTTCTTTTTTATTGAAGAGCTGAAAAGGGATGTTGAGGTCCTTTTCTCTTACGGCGTGGCATTCGAAAGAGGCTAGAAACTCAAGAGTAGGCTCTTTGTATGTTCAGTAAGCGCTTGCCAAAAAAGAGCCCAACCTTAGATTGCTTAATAGGAACCAACAATCGTCATCGATGCCAAGTTTGGTTGTAGAAGGTTGGTGGTAGTTTTTGGTGGGTCTAACTTCTGATTTTGCAAGTTGTCATAGATGGTTTTGTGGTTTTTGTTGTGAAATTTGAGAGGTGGATAAGGTGGTGGTGGTTCATCGGGTTGGGGGTTTTGGGAGGTAGAACCTTGGGGTTCCTTCCCACTCTTTCTCTTTTTTGAACCAAACACCATTTTGACAAACACCCAAGTTCAATCAAACACAACTCAAATCACAATAATAATCCCACCACTTTAACAAGCCTTCACAATTTCCACACTTTGAAGTTCACCCAACACACCAACCAATCAATACAACTCACCAACAATTAACAAGATTAACATATATACAATAATCAACCATGCTTAACAAGATACTTCAACACAAATTGGCATGCAAACATAAAAAATCCCCAAATGAATTCACAAGAACAACAATTTTTCTCACCAAAGAAATTGCTTCAAATTTCAATTAAAACTAGAGAAAAGTGAAATATACCAACAATGAGTGATCATAATCCACCCCAACTAGCCTTTTGAAGAAGAAATCTAAGCTACCTTCAAGAATCTAGCCATGAGACCCGAGAGAACCGCGAGAAGAACAACCCAAAGTAAGTCTTGAATGGTAAATTTTCAGAAATTTGGTGAGGAAATCGTAGGAGAGTGAAGAAATTTGATGGATTTTTGTTGATTTTGATGATTTTTTATGAGTGTGTGAGGTAGGGGAGGTTAGGGCTTGAGGGGGAATGGGGTTTTAGAGAGAGTGAGATGAGAGATGTGGAAATTAGGGGAGATAAGTGGGCGTAGCTACTGATGAAAAGAAGCTGGGGTTCGCAGACCTGTTTTGCCGCGCCCGCGGGTCTTCTTGTCCGCGCCCCCTCCTAGGGCATGGCGAGGCATCTCTAGAAAGGTAAAGGGAGGCCTTGAATCTCTGTCCGCGCCCTCTCCTTGTGAAGCCGCGCCCGCAGGTCCTTGGAGAGGGCTCTCCCTAGGCGCGCATACACTTTAAGCTCTTGAGACCTAGATTTCGACCCTTTCTTCTTTCATAACTCCATCTTGGGTCTTGAAAAAAATTCCCTTAAGGTGAGAACACACTCAAATCTTAGTTGACAAAAGCAATGCCCAAAAGTTCAAGTACCTACAAAAGAAAAACCAATGACCATAAGATAAGAACCATAAGAGAGATCAACCTAAATCAACTAAATAAAAGAAATAAAGAAACAAAAGAGTTAAGAACTCGGGTTGCCTCCCGAGAAGCGCTTCTTTACGAGGTCACTAGCTTGACCATGAGAAATTATCATCCAGAGGGTGGCTTAAGATCCATAGGATCAAGCCTCATGCATCCAATCAAACCAATTTCATCCTTGAAAAAGTAGTGCTTCAAACGATGACCATTAACCATGAACTTGCAGTAACCCGCCTCCAACTCAAAAGACCCATAAGGAGTAGTCCTTGAAATCATGAAAGGCCTCGACCATTTGGATTTGAGCTTTTCGGGAAACAAACGAAGCCTAGATTTGAATAGCAACACCTTGTCTCCAACCTTGAAGCTCTTGTTCCTTATATGTTGGTCGTGCCATTTCTTGGTTTTCTCCTTGTATAGCCTTGAGTTCTCATAGGCATCATATCTAAGCTCCTTAAGTTCGTTGAGCTCAAGCAATCTCTTCTCACCGGCCAACGACATATCCATGTTAAGTTCCTTGATGGCCCACTAAGCGTTATACCCCAACTCAACCGGAAAACGACAAGCCTTCCCATAGACCAACCAATAGGGGGTTGTACCAATTGGAGTCTTGTACGCCCTCCGCAAGGCCCAAAGTGTGTCGTCAATCTTAAGGGACCAATCCTTCCTAGACTTGTTCACCATCCTTTTAATTAGGTTCTTGATCTCTCTATTTAACACATCCACTTGCCCTTGAGTTTGAGGATGGTAAGGTAGACCAACTTTGCGATGAACTCCATACCTCTTGAGAAGAGTTTCGAGTTGCTTCTTGGCGAAGTGGGAACTTCCATTACTAATTAGCACCCTAGGAACCCCAAACCGTGGAAAAATGATTTTCTTAAGAAGCTTAAGCACAACCTTATGATCATTGGTAGGGGAAGGTATGGCTTAAATCCACTTAGTAACATAGTCAACCGCTACCAAGATGTATAAATTCCCACATGAGGAGACAAGAGGCCCCATAAAGTCGACACCCCAAACATGAAAAGGCTTAACTTCCAAAATGTTTTGTTCAGGCATATTATCTCTTTTGGTTATGCCACCACTTCTTTGGCACTTGACGCATCTTGAAACAAACTTTTGAGCATTCCTTATGCATCGTTGGCCACCATAGGAGAGATTGGGAAATCATTGCTACCGTCTTTTCAACTCCCCCATGTCCTCTACATGGCAACGAGTGGAAATGATCAAGAACTCCTTTGATTTCATGGTCCGGAACACATTTCCGGAAAAGGCCATCTTCACACTGTTTAAACAAGTAGGGGTCATTCCAAAAGTACCTCCTCACTTCCTTGAAAAAACGTTTCTTTTGTTGAGAAGAGAACTCCGGGGGAATGACTCCGCAAGCAAGATAGTTGGCTATGTCTGCATACCATGGGCTAGATGTTGAAGCTATAGCCATAAGAGTTTCAAGTCCCACCTCTTCATTGATTGGTACATCCTCCTCGTTCTCAAAAGGAAGCCTAGACAAATGATCCGCCACATACTTCTTCACTCCTTTTTTTATCTCTCATCTCCATGTCAAAATCTTGAAGCGAAAGAACCCAACGGATGAGGCGTGGCTTTGCTTCCTTCTTGGTCATAAGATAGCGAACCACTATATGATCCGTGTACACAATCACTTTGGAGAAAATAAGATAGGACCTAAACTTTTCCATGGAAAACACAACCGCAATAATTTCCTTCTCCGTCGTTGTGTAATTATTTTGAGCTTCATCAAGAGTTCTACTTGCATAGTAGATAACATGAGATCTTCCTTTTTTCTTTTTCCCAAGAACCGCACCTACTGCAAAATCACTCGCATCGCACATTAGCTCAAAAGGTAAGCTCCAATTCGGAGCTTGGACAACGGGAGAGGAAATGAGAGCTTCCTTGAGCTTTTGAAATACCTCAAGACAAGCCTCATTAAAGCTAAACACATCTTTCTTGAGTAATTCGGTCAAAGGTTTGACGATTGATGAAATTTTTTTGATAAACCTTCGGTAAAAACTGACATGCCCTAGAAAAGCTCTCACTCTCGTAATGGAATTAGGAGGGGGCAACTTTGCAATCACCGAAACTTTGGCCGAATTAACCTCAATGCCCTTCTTTGACACTTTATGGCCTAGGACAATACCCTCCTCAACCATAAAGTGACATTTCTCCCAATATAAAACCAAACTCGTCTCTTGACACCTTTTCAAAAAAATTTCAAGATTATAAAGACAAGTGTCAAAAGACGAGCCATCAACACTAAAATCATCCATGAAAACTTCAATCTCATTTTCAAGCATCTCAGAAAAATGGAAGTCATGCATCGTTGGAATGTTGATGGAGCATTGCATAATCTGAATGGCATTCTTCGGTATGCAAATGTTCCATATGGACATGTGAAAGTAGTTTTCTCTTAGTCATTTGGTGGATAGGATTTGGAAAAATTGGAACACCCATCCAAGGAATAAAAGAAAGCATGGTGAGAAAGTCTCTCCAACATTTGGTCCATGAAGGGGAGAGGAAAATGATCTTTCCTTGTATTTTTGTTCAACCTACTATAATCAATACACATTCTCCACCCGGTCATCGTCCGGGTGGAGATTTCCTCTCCTTCTTCTCCCTTGACGATGGTCATTCCACCTTTCTTTGGAACCACGTGAACCGGGCTAACCCACTTGCTATCGAAGATAGCATAAATTATGCCCGCTTCACACAATTTCAAGATTTCCTTCTTGACAACCTCTTGGAGGTTGGGGTTCAACCTCATTTGAGGTTCAATTGAAGTGTATTGATCATCCTCAAGATGAATACGATGCATGCACAAAGAGGGGTTAATACCCTTGATATCGTCAATCCTATACCCTGTCACATTTCTGTATTTTCTCAACACAACAAGCAATTTTTCCAAATCAAGACCATCAAGGGTAGCATTGACAATAATAGGGTATTCCCCTTCATTTCCAAGATAAGCATATTTCAAAGAAGGGGGAAGGGGTTTGAGTTTTACCTTGGAAGGAGGCTTGGAATTCTCCTCCATTTTCTCCTCCTTTTGTTCAAGCTCTTCTTTATCTTCTTGTTGTTCATGGTCTTCTTCAATTTGAGTTTCTTCCATGGACATGACAAACTCTTTTGCTTCTTGAGAGTGATACTCTTCCTTGCATGTAAGAGCTTCAACCATTGGATCTTGAGGCATCATCATAACCCTTCCTAAGTGATCTAACTCCTCATTCACAACATCAACACTATAGCATTTTTCAACCATGGGGGTCTTGAGTAACTTAGAGAACTCAAAAACAATCTTTTCATCGGCAACCTCACATGTAATGGTGTTGTTCTTGCAATTGATCACTGCCCCCAAATTTTTAAGAGCTTCACGACCCAAAATCAAAGGAGTATCAACATCTTCTTCCATATCCATCACTATAAAATCACAAGGCACGCAAATATGCCCAACTTGAATAGGAACATCTTCAAGCTCACCACAAGGTAACTTGACCGAACGGTCGGCCAATTGGATAGTCTTCCTTGTAGGGATTATTTCAATGTTAAGCTTTTGAGCAATGAATAGGGGAATCAAACTAACACTTGCTCCAAGATCGGCTAAGGTACCCTTAGCTTCCATGTTCCCAATCTTTACTGGCAAAGTGAAACTTCCCGGATCTTTTTGCTTCTTGGGCATCTTATGTTGGACAAGTGCACTCACTTGATGGGGAAGAGTGATGAGCTCATCATTGAGCTTCCTCTTTTTGGTGAGAACATCCTTGAGGAACTTGGAGTATGAAGGCATTTGTGTGATAACTTCAATGAAAGGGAGGTTGATGTGCAAATTCTTCATCACACTAAGCAACTTTGCAAACTTATCATTCAACTTCCTCTTCGCAAGTCGACTGGGAAATGGAACCGGCCCATCAAGATTCCTAGCCTCACTAGGATTTGAAGTTGTATTCTCTTCTTTAAGCTTCTTCTTCTCCATACTTCTTTCTTTCTCAACAACATTCTCTTCCTCAACTTTCTTGTCTTCACCCACACTCTCTTCTCCTTCCTTCTTTTCCTCACTAACCCCCTCCTTAGGACCTTCATAGGATGTACCCGATCTTAATGTGATCGCCTTGCAAGAGTCGGGTTTTATGATGTTGGATGGGTTAGTTTGTGATTGTCCAGGTAGAGTAGAAGGTGAATTGAAAGGGACTCTCTCAGCCAATTGAGCTAATTATGAATCAACCATCTTGTTATGAGCCTTGACCTCTTGCATTTGTTGATTCATGGCTTGAAGTTTTTGAAGAATTTGGGTTTGTGTAGAATCGGGTTGAGATGCTTGCTATTGGCTCCTTTGAGACACTTGATTTTGATTGTTGTATTGGTTTGATTATTGTGTTGGTTGTTCCTTTGGTAGTTTCCTCTTGAGTTTTGGTTTTGAAATGGAGGTGGGTTTTGATATTGGGGGTTGGATTTGTATGATTGTTGAGCTTGTTGACTCCATTGTTGAGGTTGGTGTGCAAATCTGGGGGGGGGGTGGTTGCCTCCAAGCTACTCCACCGCTAATTCCCTTATATCCATCTTGCCTTGTGTTGTATGCCGCCACATGTTCGGGGCTCAACCCTCCACAATAAGATGTATCGTGGTTTGTACCACCATAATTTTGACAAGAGAAATAATTGACTTGAGAGGAGCTTGCCCCACTATTAACACTCGTATTCAACTTTGCAAGCCCTTTTGTCAAAAGCTCAATTTGATGTTGTAATTGATCAACCTTCTCCAATTAATACTTTCCACCTTTCTTTGGTGCATTCCTCTTTCTACCACCCTAAGAGTAGTTCTTCACTACCTCTTCAATTGTTGCTTCAACTTGATTTTGGGGAATCTTAATCAATTGTCCACCCGCTCTCGCATCCAAGTTAGATCTAGACATAGGTTCCAATCCATCATAGAAGAATTGCATGAGCAAGCTTTGATTGTATTCATAGTGAGGACATGCTTGTACCAACTCTTTGAATATTTCCCAAGCTTCACTAAGACTATCATCCACTTCTTATTCAAACTATGCAATCTTCCTTCTCATTTCGGTGGTCTTTTCTTCGGAAATGAACCTCTTCAAGAATGCCTTGACTATCTCTCTCCATGTTGTAAGAGAATTTAGCTTAACTTGTTTGTGCCACTTCTTTGCTCTACCCGGAAGGGATTGTCGAAATAAGTGCATACGGATGTATTCTTAAGAAACTTGATTGGTTTGAATCATGGCACAAAGCTCAAGGAATCTATCAAGGTGCTCAATAGGATATTCACTTGGAGAACCTGAAAATTGTTCCGCTTGTACCATTCTAGTGTATTGAGGATGAATGGTAAAATAATTTTCCATGATGGGTAGAAAAATCCTTCCCGTGAGCTCATAATCCTCCGGATTCCCAAACTCACGAAACAATACATTGTTGGGTTTCGTAGCGTCTAACGCTACACGGAAGAGAAACCCGCACGCAGAAGAGAAACTCGCCCAAGAC